TGAGTTGTTGTGTCCCATACTGCATCATCCTCGCTTGTTCTGACAAGCTTGCTAATTCATCACGAATTTTGAATATATATATATATAAGAATAAAATGAAAAATATTTTTTAAAAATACAATTTTTTTAATTTTTTTGGGATGGTGGGTGCTAGTGAAACTATTCGTGCTTCACGCGGTTGTAATGAAAATTAATAAATTAATTTATTTTATCATTTATAAGAAAGTAATTCTATGGATTGCTAATTTTTAATTATAATGAAGTAGTATGAAATAATTATATTCAAGCAGTGACATATGTAATTTTTTGCCTTCATATGAAACACGATATGTTTTTTCAATATGCTAAATAGACTTTATATGCATATGGTAGAACAAACAATTTAGAGGTCATATTTTGAAACAACAATCTATGTATTAAGTTGAAAACAATACATTTTTTTGTTTAAATCTTATCTATCTTTAATTTCGAGTACTCGATCATTTATGATAACACCAATTTTGATATTAATTATTCTTTTTGAACTTCCACATTACATCTTTTTCATCACATTTGTTTACTATTTATCTATTAAAGAAATATTTTTAAAAATTATATACCAATGAAACAAATAGGAGTTATCAATACTATTTAAGAGTAGAAGTTATAAAGAAGATAAGAGACATGAGTTATCATAACTTTAACATATAATATTATTATGCCATTAAGTACATTAATCGTTGTGCATTGATTTTATTTGTAAAAATAAATAAATGACTGAAAAATATAATGGGTAAAAATGACAAAAATAAGAAAAAGAATAAATAAATTGATTATATAAAAGACGTGTCATGTTACAACCTCATCAAAGACCACAATTAAATAATATATAGGCATAGATTTTTAAAATTATATAGCTAAGACATAAAAAATAATAATCTACATTATTATTTTCACAAAAGTAATAAAAAATGAAAAGAAAACTTCTAAATACACTTCAAGCAAGAAAAAAATAGCGACAAAAATAAATTGTTACATATGCATAAGAATAAGCAATGATGTCATATAATAATTTATTTCATCTTTAATTTTCTTTGAGAGAAAAATAAAATATAACATATTCTCATAATTCTTTTGATTGAAATAAGATAGTTATATTAATTATGTTTTACAATAAAAAGTAGGATCATAAAGGACTAAATGAGTAATGTTGTCAATATGTGTTACTTAAGTTACTATATATTACAAGTCAAATAAAAAAAATCTCTAATAAAATTAATTCCTAACTATGCTTCAAAAAATATTCTTCTAAGTCTTCCTTCAAAGAAAACAATACAATAAATAAATAAATAAAGGAGCAAGTAATACAATACAAGCATCACTTTTACAATTTTCATTATCAAATAATTATGAATTCAATAAATTAATTCATCAATTCAAAATAAATTATTTAATTATAATAATATAAAACACAAAAAATATAAACAATTGTTAATATGGTACTGTTTTATGTATGATATTTATATTCCCATCATGTCAAATAAAAAAATAATTATATAAAAAAAGGGAAAATAATTTAAACTCGAGGGACAACTTATCTTGATCAATTCACCCTTGCTAGAGTACTTTGAGAAAGACGGTGTAGTCGATGTCTTGATCTCCTTGTAAATCTTCCAAGATGTTATGAAATTTTCAAGATGAAAGCGATATGCAAATTCCATACGAGACTGCCCTACACCCTTGTAAGAGATCGGTTGAACATCCTCGATGCGGTCCAGCTGCATGAAAGACCAATTGCAGATACAAATTAAAAGAGATTTCCGCTTTCGAGCGGGGATTCCCCGCGGGGCTATTACACGTATTCCCCCGGGGTAGCTACAAGCATAAACCGCGTACAAGGGGAATCGAAACCCCCTCTGCTGCTGGCGGGCAGATGTATAATGTACTACTTCGATCCAATCAACTTTTTAGGACCGACGTCCAGCGTCTTTCAATTAACATAGAATAGGGTTTTCACAACGTCCTCCGTGGTGCAATTTAGATTCTCGTATTATTTTTTATACCACTCAGGAGTTACAACTATACTCGTAAGTTATGAAATTATCAAGACTTAAATTAAAGGGTATGAGTAGTTATTATTTATAAATATATTAAATTAGAAAAACTTAAAATATTAGAAGTTATATTTGTCATTTTATAATAAGAAAAAGGGCACAAAGAAATTCTCAACGAAAAAATATCAAATAACTTGAGCATAAATTTAACTACCTTATACATGTTCTTAATAACAACAATTAAATGAATAATGTAAAAATCAAGCTAAAAGATTTCAAGAAAATATATAATAAATAAATAAATAAATAAAGGAGAAAGCAATAAATACAAGGATCATTTTTACAACTTCCATTATCAAAAAAAATATGAATTCAATAAATCAATTCATCAATTCATAATTTTTCGAACCCTTATCGTTATTGGTATTCATTTCACAAGCCAATCTTCATTGAAGAATTTTATTCTTCAAGATTTAAACATAAATATAATATAATTTTTTTCTTCAAGATTTTATATATATATATATATATTACTACTTCAAATATGGAATAATAGAATGATCATATTTATAAAGATAAAATGATGGAAATACCATAAGGTGTTTTAAATTTTGAATTAAATATTTAGGAGTTATGAATATGAAAAGTATAAGTTATGAATATTACTACGAGTGAATATGGAATAAAGAAGAGATAAAATAGTGCTTAATGTCTATAGTTACGTGAGAACTATTTCATGAAAATTGACATCAACTTTTGTTGTTTAAATGAATCTCAAGAAATAGTTTTAGATTTTCTAATAAATTATACAAATAGAAAAAAAATAAGAAAAAGGTCAAAAAATTGAATAAAAAAATTAATGAATTTGGATTTTTTTTTTTAACAATCATACTAATTTATTGTGTATAAGTTATTATATTAATTAATGAAGAATTGAGAAGTCACTCCAAATTTCAATCATGCATTCTCCTCTCTTAATTACATTCAATTATTCTACTTTAATTAAAAAAATAGGGGAAAATAAAGAAAAATATCAAAATTAAAGGAGAAAAAAAGATAAATATGAATGATGGCCTTAAAGAGGTGTCATATCATCTTTTATATATATATATATATGTCAAAACAAAAAAAATTGTACTAACAATATTAAATTAACGTACTCGACTAAATAAGATAATAACTTTTTTAAATATTTACATATAAATAATAAATATTAGTTAATTTTAAATTTTGTTAGTTTTTATAAAATTCAAGAGCGAGGTAAATGTTTTTATTCTATTGTTAAAAATAATAATAACATGACATGTCATTTCATTAGGAGTGAGGTTTATAGTTTGAGGAAAATAAGAATAACTCGGTAATATTGTGGTCCTAAAAGAAACAAAAGTGATTACAAGACAAATTTCCAAACATGGATGATTATCTAAGGTACACTTGTTTATTCATTAAATTAAAATAAAATTAGATAAAAAATTTTCTCACTTTATCCCTACAATTAATACTCTGAAGGAAATATTATATGAAAAAAAATTTTAACTAGAAAATAATGGATTCATTAAATGTTTTGAATTTCATGAAAATTAGTAATGTTATTCTCAACATGGAATATAATTATTAAAATTGTAAACTATTATTATTATTTTGTAGAGGTATTAATTAATCAATAAATTAATAAATATTACTTTAAAGAATATTTTGTAAATTTAATGAATATACCTTATTTCTCCCCTTAAAAACAAGTGATATTGAAAAGGAAGAATAATGAAAGAGTAAATAACAATGAAAGATAAAAAAATTGGAAGAATAAACTACCATAAATGCTTCTTGGGCAGTGTTTTTTATTGGGAAGGAAATTTTTTTTGAACAGTGTAATTTCTTGAAACCATCTAGTGGTTTAAGACTTTTCTTTTAGTAATTTTACTTTGGAGGGTACTTTGGGTACAAGAAATAAATGAATTTACCCAATCACCCTTTCCATTTCTCAGAAATTACAACATTACCTGAAATTTACTGATCGTGCCAATTCCTGCCAAAAATGTGTCCTGCCAAATATATTTTCCGTATCCTATAATCCATTTATTTAAAAAAATTGACATCTATACTTTCTATCAACCGTCATACCACGTCTAATCATGTCATATTCTATCTAATCACCTCTCACCGTTTTTCTTTGGCATATCTCTGCCATGTATACCAAAATATTTGAATGAGCTAACTAATAAACAGCATAAGTGAGGGCTATTCAATGGTATTTCCACATTAATTCAAACAGATGACTGTTTTATCAAATTGTTCCAATTATTTATTTATTGCAATCAGAGGAGCAATGCAAAATCCAATTAAGATACTGAGGGATCAAAAAATCAAAAAGGGAAAAGGGCACTGGTGGGACCGACGAGGCTTTTTGGGGCAGTCATGGCCCACTTTTGATAAATTGCTGAAATTTGAGTCTCCTTCCTCCGTTAGTCAAAAGCTTAAATTATTGTTATTTTCCCCTTCTTTTTACCTTTTTTTGGGCGGTAGGAATAAATAAATTAATTAGGCAAAGAAATTCATAGAAAATATGATATTTTGCACTTTTACAATTAGAACATAAGAAAATTATCGGTATGCATCTCTTAAGTGTTAAATTAATTTTTCTTCATAAAAAAATATCATAAAACTAATTTTTTTATTTTCATAAAAGACTAGAAAACTGTTTATCCATATCAGAGTCGAACTAAGTCGCAACTCGCAAGGATGTATTCATCTAACACCTTTCAATTCTTTCGATTTCAATTTATATCTAAACTCATTAAATTGAATACGTCTCATATATATATATATATAACATTTTATGAGACTATAAAAACTTTTCATTAATATAAAATGGAAAGTTCAAATTAAATTGTCATTTGGCTATCTTTTTTTTTAAAAAAAAAGTTGGTGAACCGGACAAGCTTGAATCAGAAGATACTTGACCTTGACTTAGAATATGTTTCATAGTTCCATATTTTAGCTAACAATTGAAGCAATTCAATATTCACATAGACTTGCCAGCAAAAAAGATTCTCTCAAAAGTAGCTTTGACTGTTGGAAAAGCAAATCCCAATATTCTTTGGCGTTGGAGGACTCTTACTGAGAACATTGGTTCAATTCACACCACCACATCATCAAAACAAATAAAACAGCACATCTCTCACACCTTGCATGTATACAACTGACTAAAGAAAAAGCGCAGCTCAATGCACAAAGCTCCCACTATGTGCAGGGTTCGAGGAAGAGTCGAACCTAGTTGATACTAGTAGTACTGCTAAATCAAGCATTTGGTAATGACCTTGGCATGTGACAATGGAACGTAACCAGCTCTTCTCTCCTCGAATGAGTACTCGATATTATCAGCACACGCAGAAACATGACGACTGGCTGGGGTCATTGCAGTCTGCATGGCAGTGGAAACTGAGGAAGGAGTTGCTGGCATTGGAATGGGCAATGTTTTTGGGGTAATACTTCCTTCAACAGCAGAGGCAATCTTTGTTGGAGTCATAATTGGAGTTTTGTTCAAAGACACTGTTTCCTCGAGTCTTCGTTCAGCAGAGGTAATCTTGGTTGGAGTCATAACTGGAGTTTTGTTCAAATACAGTGCTTCCTGGACCATCCCGCTCTTTAGGGTCTGATTCTGAATATTGATGGTGCTCACATTTGATGATAACAATGACGATAAGGGAGAAAGAGGCTTCCTTGTCTGTGTTGTTGCAGGTTTAGGTGGATTTAACGGGCCCTTCCTTATCTGTGCTGATTCAGTTCTAGGTGGATTTAAAAGGGCCTTTCTTGTCTGCACTGATTCAGCTCTAGGTGTATAAGGGGGATAGAGGCTTCCTTGATGCTTTCTTGGTGCCAAGAAACTATCTCTTCTGCCTACAACAAAAATTCAAGTTAAGACAATTTGAGTATCAATAGCGCAGTCCAACTTAGAAGCCTAAAAAGCTCAATAAAAATGTAGACATAGAAATGAGTGTACAACAATTTTTGGGGGAAGAGTAAATTCAGATACACTAGAGGACAGGATCACAAGCCTACCACTTTGGGGAGTTTGCTGTTCCAACAAACTAGACAGTCGAGAGGATGGTGCAGCTTTACCAGCATATGGGGTTTGAAGCATTGATCCTCCAAGCGATAGTCTTTTATTGGTCAAACCTCCCATTGATGGTCTAAAATTCTTCTTTGCACTCTTTGAAGGACTAGGTATTGAACCAAAAAGTGCTTCTTGCTCCACCATCAACTGTCCCTGAAGCTTCTTCTGGTCCTTGAATAAAAAAAAGAATCTTATAAACAACTAATACTCAGAGAAGTCATTTCATGTGTAATAAAATAGAAAATCCATACCCTCAGTCTCTGACGCTCAAGCTCCCTCTCCTGCTTTAGAACACAATACTGCTCAAGCATATAAAGAATGGCTACCTGGAAAGCAAAACTGAAGGCATAAGTAAACAATACAAGAGCGTTATCACCAACTTCCAAGAGTTAAGACAGCTGCAGAATGTGGATGCAGGGTTAGTCTTGCTTAATATTGCTATAACAAAGTCGAGTTAGGTGCTTACACCATCATACAAGAATTCATGTCCTCTTTCTTTCTGCCAAACGCTAGCTCTCAATCTCAATGTCTCCACCATAGCTGCCACAAAGTCAATTTTAAGATTCTTATTGAACTGATCAAGTTTAATTGGCACACTAAACAGACATGCGACAATGTAGGTGATTTGTTCATGATAAACTATAATTGATTTGCATAACAAATTTTCAGAAACCACACATATGATTTAACTCTTACTTTCTGGTATCTGTATTCTTAGAGTACACTAGTTATGCAGTAAGCTAACTCAAAGAAGAGTAATATCAAAATCTAGGCAGGTTATTTGTATTAGCAAAATCAATTTTTAATGATGGGAAACACGGGGAACAGAAAATAGGTTCCATACCAGGGATTTTGTTGAAAAGAACTCGAGCTTTCTCAGCTCGCTTCAAATTACGGTGTGTACCTTTTCCACCATGGTAACGATTTTCATCCTAAAATAAAACATATTAGAAACAGAAGTATGGTGCAGAACATACAGGAAAAAGGTTGAAAAACAGAACATAGCGTCCAACCCTGTTGTATTCCTCCAACCAACACTCCTCATCACATGCAGCCAACCACTTCTCCAACTTTTCAAGAATCTCTCTCCTACTAAAAGTTTCCTCTTTAACCTTGGAAATCTGCACCTCGATTTGCTCAAGCAGATATGAAGGATCAATTGCGCCTACAAATTATAGCATTACTACTTGAGAAATACAACAAAAGATTCACGCATATTGGAAACTAAATAAATTTCTTTTAAGAAATCAATTTGCTTAAGCATACAATAATCCATAAATTATCACAGAAATGATTCAGTTAGAATGCATTTGGTTAGAAGTAGCTACGTGCAACCTTGATGACTGATTCATGACAGGAAAAAGTTACCAGATTCTATAGCTTCAACAGAAAAGTCGACTGAATTTTGTGTTTCAATAACCAAATGTGCTTTCCTACAGATTTCCTCCAACTCCAGCCTCTTTCTCAGAAGAACCTCTTTCATTTTTGTTGATTTCATTGCCTGCAATCTCGACACTTCTGCCTCTGCCTGCATAAGTATTATAGAATCGCAATAATTTTCATTACTGCTATGAAAGCATCACAACTATCCTAGAGAGCTCTCAATTTCTGCTAGAAATTAACAGCCTAAAATAATAATTGGAGAGAATTTAGTTTATGTATTTTATACATGTTGAAGACTGTCGGCAGACAAAACATTAGGCTCATTTATTTCATTTTCTGAAGCTGCTATGTGCCTTGTAAAATCATAAAATTTCTGTTGCTCCTCTAGTGGTGTATCCATCAAGCTCCACAGCTCAATCAGGGTAGTTGCAAGATCTTGAAGCTAAACAACAAGAAGAACAACATTAGTAGAGAGACAAAAACGTGGTTTGGAACAATTAAATTGACATTTATACTAACCCTAAGCAATCTTTGTTTCTTGAGCTCTTCCAATCTGTGGATCATAGCAGAAAGCTTAAAGATCATATCTTTGCTTATGTTTTTCAAGACACGAGAATCATCTAAGGTTGGATCAACCTCAGCAATAGTTTGTTTGTAATCAACCCCAAGCACCACACATAACGAATTGATAGTTGTCAAGTTGTCAACCAGCAGCTTCAGGCGGTCACTCTGAAAATGTTTACGAGATTCTATTAGACAAACAGTAACTCTTGTAATTCTTTATTGCAGAGGAAATATTTCCAATTAGTCTGAAACTCTGCAACATTATAGTGGAATGATACGCCCTGTTTGTTTTTTCCTCTATTCTAAGCAGTTCTGATGTGTCTGTGAAGTGACAGTTTACCGCACTCATTTTGCAAAAGTTGGAACTTTTGTAACATTTTTATTCAAGGCAGCAATCGTGAGCTAAAACATGCAGAGATTGAAGCAAGTAAAGAGAAGAAACAGAAATAACCTTCTCTTTTTGCAAAGCAAGCAAATAATTCTGCATTTCTTCTAATCTTTTGACAGACAAATCATTCTCATCAATTACACTCATTTGTGCATTCTCTTGGAAGTGTAAACAGAGCTCTTTCGAGAAAGTCTGTATCTGATTGACAACAGCCGCAAACTGGTTCTTCCTCTCTCCTTTTCTCCTCTTCATCTCTTCTAACTTAGGCTTAATGGCCTCAAGCTCTTCCTTCAAACTTCTGGAACTCTGCTATGTAAGGAGGCTAAATGTTGAAAAAGTTCTACATACCAAGCAAAAGATCATAAAGTTTTACTGAATGCTCCAAAGGAGAAATTTTTGTTTGTCTCTAACCTGCCTAGCATATGATGATTGTTCTCCTAGTGCTGCACATATCTTTGCAATTTCTGCTTCAGAGTCAGCGATAGTTTGCTGCAGTTGAGCCCGGCAACGACTTGCCTGATTCACTTTTCTTCTATATGCCTCCAGACACTCTTGTTGAAGCTCGAAAAGCATCTTATCCCTTTCGATATCTAGCTCTCCCATCTCATCCCATATTCTCTGATCCAAAATACAAGGTAACATACAAAAAAAGAGTACACTCTCAGAACACAATGTAAGTCTTGTGTTTCTTAATAACAATTGAAGAGCCTAGTCCGAGCAAACCTGCATCTCAGAGAGAAGAGAGCCACAAGTTGTTTCCATATGCAAAGGCTTCTCACTTTGGCTGTTATTCATGTTGAAGCATTAACACCTTGAGAAAGAGAAAGAGATGGTAAAAGGAAAAGCTATAAGACTAGCTAGAGGCAAGCCAGAAACAATGAGATTGAATTTAGATGAGCTACATAGGAAAGTCCCAGCTAAATTTAGAATAAAACGTTGAAGTATTTGCGGATTTATCACCCTTCAACCTTAAAGTGAAAACAAAGCACGAACAACGAAACGAACTACCTTTTTTTCATTGTTTCAAAAGTTATGATGATCTTTTTGCATCTCTTGGACAGAATCTCTCAAATGATTTTTGATATTTACTTTGTTAAGCAATTAAAACATATATCGTACCAGAATTTATTTATTCAATGAATCAACTATACCTCAATAGCAAATTTTATGCATTTAAAAAGATACAGCAAGAAAAAAAAAGGCCTTTTAAGCCATGTCTAGTTTCTAGTCCAAAATGTGAAGATTCTCATATATAAAATTCCAAGAAAGATGAATTAATTGCCATTAGAAACTAGAACCCTATTTCTTTGGGTGCGCGCTAACAGACAAACATCTTGATCGTCCCCCTTACCAAAAAGTAAAAATCTTGAATATCTAAAACTCTTTTGCTGCATGAACCATTACTTATTAACCATTCAAGAAATGTCAAGCAACAACAACAATACATCCAGTGTAATTTCACAAGTAGGACCTTAACCCTACTTCAAGAACAAGAAGGTAGAGAGGCTGTTTCTAATAGACCCCCACCAACTCAAAAGATTCACGAAAAGCCAAGCCCTAATTTAAAAGAAAATATAATACATTTCGTTTAGAAATAGCAGCTTTCAACTTGAAAACCCCTTTTATTTGTAAAATTGAGAACAAATTTCCGTCTAGTGGAAAGTGAATTCAAGAAGCACTAAACCCCACCCAGTTAAATGTAGCAACAAAATAGTATAGAATTCTCCATGGATGTGATATTGCGATCATTTGTCTAAGTCCTACTTGATTGTTTCTACAGATACTGAATTAAGATACAGAGCAGCAATTTTCATCTAAAATACGAAGAAACAAAACCTTACTAGAATCTTGATCAGCCGTAATTACGACAAAACTGTCTTCAATTTCCGGCAAACCCAAGTGAAATTATTGTTATGATAATGTGAAATGGAGAATTGAGTTGTTGAATTTGAGTGAGAGAAGGAAGGAAAGAAAACGTTAGCTTTTGTTTTGTAAAGCAAACGTATGCACAAAGAGCGCGCCTTTATCTCCTCTTTATAGGCCCGTTTCATAATCACTGTTTTTGAATTTCAATTCAAACTTCATCTCCATTTAATCTTTTTTATTTTATAATTAGTTAGTAAATTTAATAATACTATGTCAATCTTCAAAAGATATGGTTAAGGGCCAACAAAAATATTTGATAGTTAAAGCATGAAACTTTCGTATAATAGTGCTTCGGGTTATTTTAACCTTCCACCAACCCAATTTTCACTCAGGGATCTTATATATTCTTTATTTCATGCTAGAAAACATTATTTCTCTTTTTATTCAAAACCACCACCACATACCATACCCCTCTAAGTGAGTGTTAACAAACAATTTGCTAGTATTTTATCAAGTCAGGGGTTTACGAACTTTTGAAAATTATAGATTGAGTAACGTATGAAACAAGTAAACTTGTAATAAGTTACAAGGTTTTGCTATAAAACCATCCTTAAATAATAAAGATCATCAAATATTCTTTCGTATCCAAATCGATTTCATATGATCTTTCACTCGTTAAACTTAAAGTCGATCAATACTAATTACATATAGATCGACTACTATATAAAAAAAAAGTACGGCTATTTTTGAGTTTGTTGCGATAATGGGCTGCTAATTTGATTAATTATTCGATTAAGATTGTGATCGACAAACAGGAAGTTTTATTTCAGCCATAGGGTGTAATGGCAAAAATAATAATAATAATACAGTACACTTGAAGAAAGTGGGCATTTTAGAACACCCGATTAGACATCTCTCCATTCTATTCCGTCGCACGGAAATAACTAGGCGAAAAAACGCAAGGATGTCAACCGCAATAACAACATACCCAGTGTAATTCCATAAAGTAGGGTATAGCAAAATAAAGTGTATGTCCTACCTCAAAGGTAGAACGCTGCAAGGATGTCGGATACCAAAAATATTCCAGATAGTGCAATGGACCATAGCAAAATAACTACAACCAATTATGATTCACACTTGAGGAAGCTTTGGTGACAACAGTCCAAAAGAACTATGATTGCAATTACAAAGAATCTCAAGAAACAATATTGGCTGAAAACTTAAAAGTTAACTTACCCTCTTGAAACTCATGTTTACATATCAACTAAACTACCAACTCTGTGATATATAGGTGCTGTCAACCGAAAACAACCCTAACAGAGAATGGCTTCAAAATGACTGCTTTGGCACCTACTATCAAGCAAATCTGTCTGAGACAGTCCTCTCAAAATGGTTCACACTAGTCATCTCTACTTGTGCTTTTTCGCGAAACAAAGCATTCCAAACTACCATACGAGGCAACCTGTACACATATACATAAATGGGAAAACGGAGGATAGTAAAATGCAACAGCAAATGTGCATAGGAAGAGGACTAGCTTGTTCTGATCCCCTCAAGGTCCCAATTTGAGAAAGGAGGCATCAAGTGTTGCTGCTCTCCTCACGGATGCTCGAGACCAGGTGACCACTGACTGAGCTGAAATGGGATGAAGTTGACATGGCTTTGCATATTAATTGGAGTTCCACTACACTTCTTCACATGGATCAACTGATTGGATTGTTAGTGGCTGAATTTACAACCTAAGTTGCCACCAATCTTGAGGGAACCCCAAAGTGGCAAAAAGCTTGGATTTCGACACAACATAACCAGTTGCTCATAAAGCTTGTATTTTAGAATTCACATCCCATATGAAACATATAAAAGAGAGAGAAAAAGCATCCAACAGCAATTGTAATTGTTGTTTAATTTTCATACATAAAATGTGCTGACATAACTGAAATTTGAAACTCACAGAATAGTTGAGGTACTTTGGGGTTTAAAGATTCAATAAGAATGGCAAGCTTTATAGGGGCGAACTGGACCAAGTCCCATAATCAGCAGGAATTGGCCAGAGGGGGATTTTGTCCATCCAAAAGACATTCAGAGAGTCAATCCTATGCTTCTGAACATGCCACTCCCAACAGTAAAATTTTGTCCTTCCATTTTATTTATGTAAAATGAAATAAAAGAGAAAGCATGGGGCCACAAATTCTTCTCCACTAGACCTTCAAACTTCCTTTCAAAAATAAAGATCTTAGCTGCCCAAAAAGGACGTAATGAGAAAATAAATGCAGAAATTTAACAAAATGATTGAAAGCATCACAGCAGAACACTTTATCACAAAACGTACAGAGGAATGCCAAGCAGTTCATTAAACAATAAACCGGAAGTATTTTCTGCGGAATATGCCTTCTGTCTTAAGCACAAGAAGACAAGAAAGGATACGGTACTATGCACGCAAACCAGAAGATAAGAAAGCATTGTTTTCATTTTTTAGGACTAGAAAACCGTCATCTGCACTTCACTAATGAACATCTTTAAATAATAACATAGGCAACACCAGTGGAGTAACAAAGAGCATTTCCCAATGTGTAAATTTTCACCAAAACGAAATAACCAAATGAAGCAAATAATGCAAACATAAAAGATGATCAAGCTACAGTATGTTAAGTAAGAACATAAAGAGCAATAATCTGCAAATAATTAACTTACTGAATCTTAAGTTTTACTCACCAAAACCTTTACACCACTCAAGCCATATTTCAAAAGCTTGTATTCATCAAAATAGCAGCCTGCCAACATTGTGCTATTGATGTTCCTGCAGTCCGTTTGTGATGGCTCTCATACAGGAACAAGCCATAAAACTCTCTTGAACATCTCATACATTTCTAATAACCCAGAGCCAGAAGAACTAGTCTGTCCAATTTCCAAGATCCATAATGGGTGATCTATTCTAAGCTTAGGATACCAAAACCTACCATATTAGATACATGAAAAACCTAATTAACAGGATGAGCCATAACTTGAAAAAAAGAAGAGCAGAAATATGAAGAAGCATTTATTTTGATTCCAATTTTATGAGTTAAATGTTTAACTTGTCAACTACATCACAATTACTTTTAAGAGTGACAGAAGTACAGTTAAAAAGAAGATAGAAATACTTGTTGATGAAGGACCTCGAGATCCAAAGAAGCTCCATGGGTTAATGATAATAAGCCTTCCACTCACGTTTTTGTCAAGAGGACAAATGTATTAACTTAAGAGAATTCAGATATGTGCATGTGTGGAGCAGGAGTAACAAAATTGTGGACAAGTGGGTAAAGACCTCAGGGGTAATAAGGGATGATGTAACAAGGAATAGCGATCAAGACGTGAATTTTATCCTTAATAAAAGCAGGAGCAGACATCAGCCTTCTTTAGACATACACATACATGATTCTTCTACGACCAAAGTGTAGTTATAGCAACAATTCAAATAGAAAAGGAAAAAGGAAAGTAATGACAGAAAAACTTGCATAAGCTCTTTCTATGTAAAGGGGAGGTGCCAACACACATTCAAGGAAATATTAAATGAACTTTCAATTTGTTGCCCATCATTTTCATTCCCGGATGTTATACACGTAATTAAGAAAAATGAAGAAACAATTACAGGTATATGTGAGGATAGCTTTTATGGTTGAACTGAAAATTACAGACAATGACAAGTTCCCATAAGCTTTCTATTCATCAATTGTATGTCCAATTTAAGATATATGCCACAAACTAGTCCTTAAACAATAAACCTTCACACTTTTCCAATGTTTGCTAGCAGCTTAAGAGGTCCTCACCACAATCCTCATAACTGCTTTCAGAAATTGAGGCTAAACTTAGCAACTTATGGTCAATAGAATGAACACATTGATTATGTTTATCTTGAGCATAAACAATTTTAGTAAGAACTGCCATTTCCATTTTCAACAAATAGCAAAGAACTAATTCAAGAGTTGACTGGAAAGAATTTAATTACAAGCAAACCATAAAAATCTCTCTAGCAACAAAATTTCAACAACACCATCACAACTTATTACAGTTGTTTGACAAATCATATATGCACAGATTGTTCTCACACCAGGGATGCATAATAGATTTGGAATTATTAATTGCTTTAAAAGCAATTCCAAGAATGTGTGTAAAATTTTGAGATTGACTGCATTTAATTTTGCCAAAACTTTCCTAGAAAAGTCCTGGTGATTTAGTAAATAGTCAAAAACATGTCTCTTCATCATATCAATGTATCTGGAATTCAAATAAGTAACACAATTTATAAATACACTGTATTTAGATTGAGACTCATCTTTCAAGAAAATAAAGTTCTGACTTAAATTGGATTAATTTTACTGATTATCCAAATATCAACGAGGTTCGCATATACCTATTATCATTGCATCATAACATAACAGGATCATATGGGATCAGGATACACAATTATATGTGTTGAATGAACATCATACAGTCTCATCTTCTCCAAAATTTCCCTTGTTTCTGCAATAGGACTTGGATTTTAGAGCAAACAGGTTAAAATAGAACTTGACCGAAACAAATCGTGAATTAAGCTAGATTTTTATCCTTGTCTTCTTTATTCTTTTTCCACATCAAGATGAGTTGATTAGCTAGTCAAATTATTTTGGTCAAAGCTTGTTGATATATCCTCAAGAGTATGTATTAAGGAAATCTATTTACATGATGATTTCAAACTACTATTGAATAGAATCATGCCATGTAACTCTGTTCAACCTCAATCAGAAGCCAAAAATATAATCCAACATTGATACATCAACACTTACTCCTCAATTGTCCAAAAAAGCTGAGTTTCCATAGAGTTTCAAATTGTCATCTCCAACTAGAAGCTTTTGCCACCATCAAAAAAGGAAAAAATAAAAACAAATAAAAAACTTGAAATTCTTTCCACATTCTCGAACAATTTTGTTAATCTACAAGCTCTAGTCGTGGAAGAAGAAAAAGAGAAGGAGGTATCAACAAAAACTGGTTTTACAGTGGGACGGCTTATGAGTCATGATGTTCATATTTATCAACATAATCAATACGAATCTTCTCCCATATTCTCCACATACAATTGGTCATTCTATTAATTCACAAGATCCCTTACGTTTCACTAGATTTTAAGCAATCTTTAGGATTAATTCCAACTTATGGT